AAACATCATTGCCTTAGAGGAGATCTGCATGGAGGAATGGGCCAAAATACCAGCAACAGTGTGTGAAAACCTTGTGAAGACTTACAGAAAACGTTTGACCTGTGTCATTGCCAACAACGTGTATATAACAAAGTATTGAGAAACTTTTGTTATTGACCAAATACTTATTTTCCACCATAATTTGCAAATAAATTCATAAAAAATCCTACTATGAGATTTTCTTGGGAAAAAATTCTCATTTTGTCTCTCATAGTTGACGTGTACCTATGATGAAAATTACAGGCCTCTCTCATCTTTTTAAGTGGGAGAATTTGCACAATTGGTGGCTGACTAAATACTTTTTTCCCTACTGTATTTAGACAATACCCTAATAAGATATCATCATGTAGAAATATTAAAATGAAATTTTTAGGCTAAAGTTTGGCAACTTCATATAATAATATAGCACGTCAATATTGGCAGAACATTGCAGTAATGTTTTCAGAGCCACTTCCATTCCATCATGTCATAACATTACATAATAACTTTATAAGACTCTTGCAGGAATGTTTGTTGTTTGTTGTTAGGTGTTATTAATAACATCTCCTCCATCAACATTAGCTGAATATTCCAGGAATGTTTTCTCAGAATATCTTTAATTGCTCACACATTGTATTACTGCAGTATATTCTGAGAATGTTACTGAAACATCATGTCAATAACATCATACTACTGTAGTAACTTTATGAGGGTTACAGGTGCAATATTTAAATGTATATAATTTCATATTCCGTTCATATATTTTAAAGTCATTATTTCACACATTGTTGCTGTGGGCTGCCACGCAAAAGAAGAAGAAACATTTTTAAGAAAAAAACATTACAAAAGGTACATAACTATAAAGTATTGATCATTTTGATCATATTTTAGAGTTTAAGTAATAATACATTCTGTATATACAGGAAAAGAAAACAAGGAGGAAGTTAGGGCCAATTTCATAGTAAAATGTTTCCTTGGTGTTAAATACAGTCTGTGAACAAACTCAAAATGTATAAATTGATGGTTCGGATTATGGGATGCTAAAGTTATATTTTTCCATATTCTGTTCCAGTTAAAAGGTTATTTAGATTCACTTAGATCTGTAGACCATACTTTTGTATTGGCTACCTCTGAATAAACCTCTGAATATGAGCTTTCCAAAAGTTGTTTATATACTATAGAGATTAGTCCTTTCGGTAACCCAGATAATTTACATATAAATCCCATCATTGGATGGTTCGGTAGTTGGGTTTCCCAAGGTACTCCATAGGCCAGCATAGCTGACCCAAGTTGTAAATATAGAAACAAGGAGTTAACTGGTAATGTGTATGTGTTTTTAAAATCTTGGACTGTTCTCAAACCATTATGGGCCAAATAGAAATTGTATGAGCAACAATAGGACCAAAGCGTAGTTTACATTGTTTAAGGGATATATCAGTGAAGACCACCTCTTCCAGGGCAATAGGAGACACCATATTTCTCTCTATACTCAGCCTGGGGGGCGGAAGAATCATGTCTAAACCAATTTAGGATGGGGCAAAATGTTAGTGCCTGGAAATACGATTTAAAGTTTGGTACGTATAGTCTTTCCCTCTTTGTAAGTTTGTTCATTTTTATCCTGGATCACTTACCTTGCCATATACATTTTGAAACCGCACTATGAATTTTATCCCAATAGCCAGAAGGGGGAAACATGGGAAGTACTGACTCAGAAATTCAGCCGTGGCAAAATATTCATTTTGACAATAGATATTCTGCCGGTTAAAGCAATTGGGATGTTAATCCATCTACTGAGGTCAGATTTAATTGATTTGTGCGTTATGTTAAAGTTTCTGGCAATTGTTTTATCTAAGGCAGGAAATATATCTACTACAAAATATTTAAAATTGGAATGATTGGGGCAGATTTTTCAGAACCTATTCAATTGAATCCAGACATAATTGCTGAAGTTTGTTCAGGGATGTTTTTGGAACATCATGTCATATTGTCACACTATATCTTCATGAGACCATTGTAGGAATATTCCCTGCTTGTTGTTGTGGTTGTTTTGAATAACATTTCCATCAACATTAGCAGAACGTTCCTGTAATGTTTCCACACAACCACTATTGCTCCCACATTTTGTTGCGCCAGTAAGTTCTAAGTACATTACCACAATGTTGTGTTATTATATTCCCTGGCGACCTAATGTGAACCTTAGGGGAATGTTCTGTGGTAGTTTTTACAGATGTTGAGCACAACAATTTAGTGAATGTTAGGAGCACATTCCAAGAACATTTCATTTCAAACATTTTTTAGAATATATATTTGGTGATCAAAAATGTTTGTGGGATGTTATCATCCTAATGTCAGCCAGAACTTAATAGGAATGTTAGCTAATGTCCTGGGAATGTTCCCAGTTTGCTGGGTAGTCCTCTCTCTACAGCAGTCCTTCTCAAATAGTGGGGCGCGCCCCCCTGGGGGGGCTCGGAGCAATGCCGGGGAACATGCTTTTTTTTGCCGCAGGGAGTAGGGTTTTTTTGCACCGAACAAGAGCACACAGCACAGAGCAGGATATATGAAGTGCAGATAACAAACCCTTAAGAGACACCATGGAAAAATATTTAACAGGGATGAAAAGAAAGGCGGAGAGAGACGGAGATAATGAGACAAACGTAAGTCTCCCGAAAGCTAAGATGAGGAATTATGACGAAGCGTATCTAGCGCTTGGCTTCACTGTGACTACGGTGGGAGACGAGGAAAGACCGGTATGTTTACTGTGTCTAAAAATGTTGGCAGCGGACAGCATGAAGCCAAATAAATTAAGGCGTCACTTAAAGACATTACACCCCAATCACGCTGATAAGCCGCTTGAGTGTTTTCGGCGAAAACGTGCAGAATATTACCAACAATCGTCCCGCTTTGTGAATGCTACTTCAGTAAACCAGCGAGCACTGTTAGCATCATATAAGGTGGCGTACCAAATTGCTCAGTGCAAAAAAAAACACTCCATAGCAGAGGAGCTGATACTGCCTGCAGCATTAGACATGGTCTCTGTCATGCTGGATGACGCAAGTGCTGCAAAAATAAAAACTATCCCTCTGTCCAATGACACTGTCGCCAGACGTATAAATGACATTGCTAACGATCTTAAAGAACAGCTGGTAGATAAACTCAAAGACAAACGTTTTGCCTTACAGTTCGATGAAGCAACTGACAGCAACAAAGACTGTTTGTTTATCGCTTATGTACGTTTTGACATGACAAACTCCCTGTGTGAGGATCTACTTTTTTGTAAATATGTCAGAGACAGAGCCACAGCTGAAGAGCTATTCAAAATGCTGGACTGCTTCCTGACTGAGAATGGGCTAAAGTGGGAGAACTGCATTGGTGTTTGCAGTGATGGTGCACAGACCATGGCAGGGATGAGAAAAGGACGTTGGGCACTCATCAAGAAGGCCTCACCTGATGCTGAGTGGAGACACTGTGTTATACACAGAGAAGCACTGGCATCAAGGCACCTTTCCTCTGAATTAAGTGAGGTTATGACTGACATTGTAGGTGTAGTCAATTTTATAAAGACCAGACCACTAAAAACAAGAGTCTTCTCTGCTATCTGTGAGGAGATGGGAGCTGAACATCAAGCGGTGCTGTTTCACAGTGAAGCAAGGTGGCTGTCATGAGGAAAACTCTTGTCCCGAGTTTTTGAGCTCAGAGAGCAGATAAGAATGTTTTCGGAGCAGGAGCACAAGTATGACCTCGCAGAAAAATTTAGTGATGAGAACTTCCTGGCAAAACTGGCCTAACTGAGTGACATATTTGGAAAGCTAAATGAACTAAATCTATAGCTTCAAGGGAAAGATAAACACCTCCCTCAGGTCACAGACAAGATCAGCTCTTTCACTCGAAAGCTTGCAATGTGGGGCAGGCGACTTGATGAAGGAAATACTGATTCATTCGAGAACCTGCATGAATTTGTTGACACTACTGACTATGATGCCACCTCAGTGATTCCATATATTAAGGAGCATATTTCATCACTGATGGGAGTCTTTAAAAAGTACTTCCCTGAAAACAGTTCCCAATATGACTGGGTGAGAGATCCTTTCAATGCACCAGCTCCAACTGGTTTCAGCTCTGCAGAGGAGGACCAGTTCATTGATATGACGTCTGACTCCACATTGAGACTGAGGTTCACATCACAGACACTGAGTGAATTATGGCTGAGTGTAGAGAGGCAGTATCCACTCTTAGGGCAGAGGGCCATGGGCATTCTTCTTCCTTTTGCAACATCTTATCTTTGTGAGACTGGCTTCTCTGCTGTTGCTGCACTGAAGACCCAAGTACAGGTCCCAGCTAAACATTGAGCAGGAGCTGAGAGTTGCAGTATCATGCTTCAAACCCCGCTTCGAAAAGCTGTGCACTGCAAAACATGCTCATTGTAGCCATTAATCCTGACTTCCTCGTTTTGATTTTAAAAAATCAGCACAAATTGTTTTATTAATTTTTGTTTTATAGGTCAAAGTGTTTCATATATTGTGCTCCTGAGTTAATGTTGCTGATCAATTTGAATTTATTATTATTTATTGATTATATTTTATTTTATTTTTCAGTATCAAATGGTCAAAAAATGTTTACAGTTTAAATAAGAATTGATTTTTTTTTTACATTTTAGGCAAATTGATGCACTTTAAGTATTTTCTGTTACAGACTAAAAAACAATGTTAATAAAGTTATTCTTTGTTGTAAGTTGATCTATATTTCTTTCTTTTTTCTTTTCTTGTTTTCTTTAATGTTAATAAGGATACAATTTTATGCAGAGGTGTACTTATAACTATTTTATAGACAAATGATACTATTTACAGTCGCGGCGGAGAGTTTGGGGGTGCGAAATGTTTACTTCTTCCTAGGGGGGGCGTAACAGAAAATAATTGAGAAGCACTGCTCTACAGTATCAAACACTTGATGATGAGGCAGAGGCCAAGGAACATGATGACACACAGACAGGAGAAGTGAAGTGACAGGATGACCAGTATGTCCCCTAGCAGGCTGTTGTCCCTGGGTCGGGGCATGGGAGGGAGCGGTGGCATCTGGGGCATCTCGCAGTAGACCCCCGTCCAGCCCTGGTAGCACTGGCAAGTAAACTTGTGCTTCATGTCCAGGATGTCGTGGTTGTTAAGATGGCCGCTCACGTGGAAGCGGGTCCCCCGGGGGCCCAGGTTGCTGCGAATGTGGAAGAAGCGGGGGTTGAGGTGGAGGTAGGCCCCTGAGTCGAGGCTCTTCCTCACACACTTGCCGTTCTTCTTGCACAGGGCTTTGCTGCACAGCTTGGCGGCTGAGGTGACGTTGATGACATAGTGGCCTAAAGGGCCGTCAATGTACTTCTTCACGGTCAGGCAGTTTCTCTGGAGGTGCACATAGATAGGCAGAGGCACAAACACAATGTGATGCACAGCATAAATACACAGCATAAGTAAAGGTGTCTGTGAAAGTGTAACTAAAAATAGGCCTGCAGTTCACTGGAAATAATAGTTATGTTGAAAGAACCTTCCTTATGTCACCCACAGTATGTTTATTTACTTCATGCACTAACTATCCCTTGAATTTCTTCTCTTTTTTTCTCTCCATTTTATTTCCTCTAAAACTGGAATGGAGGGAATCAAGGCTTAAAATGTTTCATCTAGTACACAGGATGAGCTTGGTAAAAACATATCGGGTCAATTGCAACCAACAGGCAGAACTTAACGTGCAGCTGCGGGTTAGCGCTGGATTTCCTAAAACGCTACTAATGAGAGATTACATGCACCAGCGTGTTAAAACAAACTTGCTTGCAACCGAAACCCACAAGAATAAACCAGCAGATCAGTTGATCTCCCGTTGTTACTGTGTCAAACGAGTTAGATACCAGACAGCTTCGTCTAGGTTCACAACTCCTGGCCCCAATGAAATAGCAACCAATCATCGGTTGACAAAATTTCATGACCGCCACAGCCCTAATCAGGAACATTGAAAATAGCATGGCTGGTAATTCATCAAAAATAATTATTGTAAGAATATAGGCCCAGTGAATTATAAGAAACTTGAGTAAAGTAAACTTGAGTAGAGTATAATTCAGTACAGCACAGTAGAGTACAGTACAGTACAGAAGAATATAGTTCAGTACAGTACAGTAGAGTACAGTACAGTACAGTACAGTTGAGTACAGTACAGTAGAGTACTATACTGTACTGTACTCTACTGTACTCCACTGTACTCTACTGAACTATACTCTACTTTCCTGTACTGTACTGAACTGAACTATACTCTACTCGAGTTTACTGTACAGTATACAGAAAAGTACAATACAGTACATTATAGACTTCTATGTTTGGGTCACATATCATTTGTCTTTTGACATACATTCATTAGACTGTTATTTTATGAAAACATAGATTATATATATAATATGGTTTTGTTATATTTCAGTCTTCTGTGGTGTATATAAAGTGCAATATTGGGGTGCAAACTCAAAATTGAATACATTTCAACTCTATATCTGACATGGTACAGGTGTCTTCTTTTTTGTACCTGATGTGTGTGAGGTGTATACTTTTGTTTCAAAGTAGATTTGTTTAAGACTACCAAGAAACACTGTGTGACCCTGATTTATCCCAATGCAGTAAAAGGTTAAGAGTTTTATTAATAGATTAAATAAATTGGAAATTAAAAGTAAGTATACCATCACAAGCTTTACATTCATAAAATGTGTAGAGTTAATTGCCACAGTTGATTCTCTGTGGATAATGAGGACATACCTCATTTCAGTTGTACGGAAAGCTTGTTAAATAGTTAAATATGTGCTTAGTCTGCTCAAATATTAGGTTACATTTATTCCAAAGATAATACCCACCAAATAGTCTTGAAAATTTTTGTCAGCAACCAATACAAATCAAATCAATTGTTATTGGTCACATACACATATTTAGCAGATGTTATTGCAGGTGTAGCGAAATGCTTGCACAGTACAGTACAGTACAACCAGGACTTAAGCAACCGACATCAGCTTTAGGGAGCGATAATATGGTGGCCAATAATGGTTGCAATTGAGATCAGCTGTGTGGGTGATTTTAGCGCATATTGATCGTTTACTGAGAGATCACCTTGTGTTGAGATGGTGCTCAATGTTGGTTGCAATTTACCCATCTCCATTTGAATACAAGTAAGTGGAAAATGTCCTCCTTTAAAACCTTACCCCTGTCTATAATGCAGCAAAGTAATCCACATCTACATTTGATTTATAACTGACGAGCCTCTTGTAAACAGGATGCAAAGGGACCCACAAAATCACCATGTGTCCTTTTCCAACAAAGCACCACACCACTGTCTGTGTGATGTAAATCAGGCCTTCTTCAAGGCTCCTGTCCTGATCTCAAAACCACAGTGACTGTGCTGAAACATACTATTTCAGGAGACACTGAAAACTGGTAAGGAAGGGAAATCCACGTTCAAAGTGATGACGTGTCACGTCCTCTCAGTGTCTCATGGAACCATGTAGACACTCACAGCTTTTGCTTACTGCATGCAACAAGACATTATTATGTCATTTTAATGTAATGTTGAATGCTTCCTCAGAGCCGGGATTAATAAATAAAAACAATCATATTTCACATAGTTTTCTGTGTCATTTCTTTACCTGAGTTCGAGCATATTCTGAGGAGCCCCAAAGTACCACTCCTGATGCCCCAAGAGCTGCACTCTCTCCAATAGTGTGCACCAGGTCACTCTAGGAGAGACATAAGAAAATATGTAACACTCCAAACACAGTGTCCCCTCAGGTCAAAGTGAGGTCACTTGACCTGCTCCAGTGTTCAGTGTTCATTGGTACACTCTCATGTTTTACCTCTTGACTCCTGAACCTCAAAATAGAGATCATGGCCCAATCCAGAATCAGCCCTATATCACCTCTCTATAGGCACTTTTATACACCTGAAAGGTTAAAATACTGTAGGCAAGCAATATTCCACCCAGTTAATCAGAGGGCAAGGTGGAAATGCTGTAACTATCCAGTTCTTTTAGATCTACTCAAGTGCCTATAGGGGTTAGGGGCTAGGGGATGTTTCTGGACTGAGCCCATGTGTTGTAAATCAATGTGAGGTGTCATAGCTGAGACTGAGCATTCCACTCATCACTCTGTGACAGTTCCAGAAGCTTCTGGGAGATTAATAGCTTTTTATCCACGACAATGACTAGGGGGCAGAACATGGCGGGAGACAAGACAAGTGACTTGAGAGAAAAATGCAGAGGTTAGGTAGTTATCACAATGACTGAAAGGCAATCAAATGCTTGCAGGAATTACAGAAAGTACTTACTTTAATAATAATAAGCCATTTAGCAGACGCTTTTATCCAAAGCGACTTACAGTCATGTGTGCATAAATTTTTACGTATGGGTGGTCCCGGGGATCGAACCCACTACCCTGGCATTACAAGCACCATGCTCTACCAATTGAGCTACAGAGGACCATTTAAAAAATGTGTTGGAATATCCTAACACTATTATTTTCGCTCTTGAACCAACAGCAACAACAGTTATCAGTTTCCCAACATCACCAGTTATTAGTAATCCTTCTCACCTCTGAGAGGACCGTGAAGGTGTAGGCATAGAAGGGTCTAGAGTAGACAAACACAGGCAGTGTGAAGTCGGTGCGTGCGATGGAGGCAATCCTCATGGCCTCTTTGACACGGTAGTGGACGAATTTGACGGTGTTGGCCGAGGACTTGAGTTCGTAGTCTAGGTACACGGAGGGGTAGAGGGCTGTGCTCTCCCTCCAAAGCCACATCAGATGGTCATTACGGACGTGCTCCACGTTGGGGCATTCACCTGTGTAGCGATGCGGGTGCGTCTTGTAGCCATAGTTGTAGCAGTCGGGGAACAGGTAGAAGCCCCAGAGGCCGTCAGGTCGTCGACTTTCTGCCAACAGTAGAGTATTGTTCATAAAGGCCTGTCCGGCCCTCTCAAAGGCCTCCTTGGCCTCATTCTCCACCTTGCTCTCAGGCCAACCTGGATGGAGCTTCCGGATCTGCTCCTTGGACTTGTTGCGGTAGATGTCCTTCGAGCCCCAGTTGCGCACCCACTGGGGCCTCCAGTTCTCCCAGTCAATGACACCCAGGCCTCGGAAGTCCTTGTGGGGGATGAGCTTGTCGATGTCGGCCCTGGCCTTGCTCAGGTGCTTGGACAGGCTCTGGTTCTGGGGCAGGCCCCCATTGATGGGGTTCCCAGAGCTGGCATAGTAAGGGTAATAGCCCAGGTGGCTGTGGTAGAAGATGGTAACATTAGGCCCGCTAAGGGTCTCGTTGAGGTTGGCCACGATGTCAAAGACGCTGAGGTCCAGGTCCACCTTGAAACGAAGGCGGCAGGACTCTGTGGGGGCGTTCCACACTACGATAAAGGGCCGGTGAGGGATAAGAGGAGCCTGGGCCTGCTTCATCTGCTCACCACCGGCCCCTTCTCTGACCCCAACCCACAACACCACAACCAGCAGACAGCGGCCAATCAGCGCCATCGCCCTAGAGTCCACATGGATCAATTAGTCGTCCTATCCCAACATGAAAAGGAAAAAGAACAGGATAGAAATCACAACACTTTTTGAAAAAGTAAACACATCATGGGCTTCAATAGGCAGGGATAATCAGGGCTGGTGAAAGGACATGTGAGTGAGGGTCAATGAGATGCACTGCTCTAGATTCCACACACTGTACAATGCTCCTCTATTCTTCTCAGAGAAAGGTGCCATTTGACTGGATGTGCTCCTGTCAAGATCTGTCAAGCTGCCGGAATTAGTTTGTCATATTTCCCTAACAAAGATGTATTGAGTTGGCCTTCGTTAATGTGACCACGATGGAGATATTTACATATCAGAGTGGGCCTTAATTATAACTGGTGTGTCTGTTGTTTTGACAATGATTCCCATCCAAACCCAGGGGCGCATGCACACACACCAACACACTCACTCTCTCTGTCTCTCACACACACACACACACACACACACACATGCTCACTCTTTTCTAGAAAACGCTTTCTAGCTTCTTGTGTAAGATGCCCCCACATCTAATTGCAATTGGTGCCTTTTTCCAAGTCCAGGGAGAGAAACCATGACCCCACTCTCGGAATACATGGCCACTGAGGTTGTCTTCAAGAGAGACATGGAAAATCGGCCGTAACTTTCACCCACCACTTCTAGGAGAGCATCCTTGTATGTATACTGTATATGCAATAGGCACATTGTTTGGTGTAATGATAATAATCAAGATAGATTTCAGTATATTTTTGACCAGTATCTGATTCTGGGAGGTTTTCAAACCTGTCTAAAACCAGAAAGAACAATATGGTTGTTGTTGTTTTTGTTGTTTGTTGTTTGTTGTTCATTATGGTGGGCCAACAGCTGTGCGTTCCATAGAATTCATGAATATAAAGTTAACATTTGTAGTTATAACTGAAGAGGAAAAGGCTTTGGCTGCGAGTGCTGTGCATTGCTTTGTCGGTCAAACTATACAGTAATCCCTGCCCAAGACAAACAGTCCATGGTGAAGTCTCTCAGACCGTCCTTGAACCATAACTAGTCCCAGTGTCTCCAGGAACACCACTTGCCCTGGCCACTAAAAATACCCTCCAAAACACAATGTCTGAGCCCAAACAGACAAAAGACTCCACATTTGATGTCTAGTTTTTCCTCAAATAGACACAACTGAACTCAAACAGGAGCCAAATCTCCTGACTGGGCTGATTGACTCCAGATGAAGGTAGCAGCGGGGAACATTAAGAATGGAAGCTAACCCTTCTCTCAAACCTTCAATGAGCTGACAAGGCAATTATCCTAATCACTCAATCAGTCATTGTACAAACGTTATACTATAAATTATCCTATATTAGTGTTATTACTTAGTAATACTGACAGTTACGTCTTGTGTCATCGCTAGCTTTCAGTTCATAGAACTGTTCATCGAACTTTCATACTTTGACATATGAACTGTCATTTTGCTAACCATGCATTGTAATTCATCAAACATTTTCATTTCCTTTCCAAAAAATGCTTGGAGCAGCTAAAATTAAATAAGTCCCTTGCCGCTAGTTTGTGGTAAGTAAAATAATTATATCTTTGGCATATCGGCGCCATGTGTGTGCAATTGGCACAAATATGTTGGTCATCCATATACAGAGTGTATAAAACATTAGGAACACCTTTCCATGACATAGATTGACCAGGTGATTGCAGGTGTAAGCTATGATCCCTTATTGATGTCAATTGTTAAATCCACTTCAATCAGTGTAGATGAAATGGAGGAAACCGGTTAAGAAGGATTTTTAAGCCTTGAGACAATTGAGACATGGATTGTGTGTGTGCCAAAATTGGAGTCAACATGGGCCAGCATCCCTGTGGAACGCTTTCAACACCTTGTAGAGTCCATGCCCTGACGAATTGAGGCTGTTCTGATCGCAAAAGGGGGTGCAACTCAATATTAGGAAGTTGGTGTCCCTAATGTTTTGTACACTCAGTGTATGTTGGTCTATATACCTATGGAGACCCAGTTCATATGTGTTTACAGTTTTCTTTAATCGCATTGGTACTATTTTCACAAGTATGTGGTATGTTTTCTAAACTCAGTACAAAACTCCAAACTGGTAACACTTGTAACACAGCCAGTCTTACATTCAAAACCTTTCATTGTTCATTCATTTTGTTTGTAGACATATTTCACCACAACCATTGATCCAAAATATAAGTTTACTGTGAAATATAATGAGTACATTCGTTTAATCACCAAAACACAACATAATGATATCTTCTCAATTTAGCTCTTTTAACCCTTTATACTCGTACCCATATACGGGTTGTAAATGGAAGATTTGGGCACCGATAAGCACCTAAATTGGAATGCAGTGGCTGTACAGTATCATGCTATAAATGACGTCAGATCTAAAGCTCTGCGCTTCACGCGACAAGTAGCTGCCAACATCCCTCCCGGTAATTGGTCAACTTTTGCTAATGCTTTGTTATCTGAGTGAGGGAAATGTACTCTATGTATTTTGAAAGATGTTGAGGATTATAATAAATACTGCTTTGATGTCATACAATCAAGCCAAATGTGCACTTCACATTTCCATATCATAAAACTCATGTCATAAACAATGTCAACATTTTTGAATAAGCCTTTGTTTGTCTAATGTGAAGAAAATTTGCAGCAGAACACGCACCTGAATGCACTCATGATTTATTTCTATGCTCACAAAAATGACTATCTGTTTCTCTGAATGACTTTGTGAAAGCATTGGAAGATATACAGTATGTTGGCAAAAGAACAAGCTTTCAAAAGATGCCCACCTGACCCAGATTGCGATTTATAATGGGCTGTTTTTGGAATGCGTAAACAACAACAGTAATTGTGTGATGGCGCGGATTCAGGATTGTGTTCCAAACAAAATAACTACAAGTGTCCTTGCTCTAGTTCCTCAACGACACAGCTAGGAGAGCTCAAAAAAGCACCTTATAGTTGAATACTCTTCTTTGAAATTACTTAGGAACAGTGCACACTTTGGAGAGCTGTGCGGCCACTTGGAGACACCAGTTAGTCCTGACTCAAACCCTTGTGATTTTGTTGTTGTCACGCCCTGGCTCTGGGACTCCGTTATGTTGAGCCAGGGTGTGTTGTTTCTATGTGTTTTGTGTTCTAGGCTGATTATCTAGCTCATGTGTTTCTGTGTTGGCCGGGGTGGTTCTCAATCAGAGGCAACGAGTATCAGCTGTTGCTTGTTGTCTCTGATTGGGAACCATACTCAGGCAGCCTGTTTTCCACAGTGTTTTGTGGGATCTTGTTCCGTGTTGGTTTTGTATTGTAACCAAGGACTTCACGTTATCGTTTTGTTGTTTTGTTCGTGTGGTGAATCTAAATAAAATAAGTATGTTCACTCATCACGCTGCGCATTGGTCCACTGTGTTCGACGATCGTGACAGAAGATCCCACCATAACTGGACGAAGCAGCGTGTCCAGGAGCCAACGCCAGAGGTGACTCTGATGGATGTCCACCTCGACTGGGTCAAGCAGCGTGTCCAGGAGCCAACGCCAGAGAGGACTCTAATGGATATCAACCTCGACTGGGTCAAGCCGCGTGAGGAGGAGAGAGGTTGGACTTGGGAGCAGAGGCTGGAGAGTCTGGCGAGAGCCATGGAGGCCATAGCCACGGGGGAGAGACGAACCCAATAAATTTTTAGGGGGGGGGCTCACACCGTGGACGACGGGACTGCTGGAGGCAGATAAGGGGTGAGTTAGTGGACGAGGAGAGAAGGCCACCGGGTTACGGGAGCCATTGGCGAGTAGAGGGAAGGAAAATGTAGAGGCACGGCGAGAGGTACTGAGGTGTGTTGCCAGTCCGGTCCGGCCCGTTCCTGATCCCCGGGTAAGGCCAGTGGTGTGTGTTCCCAGTGCGGTCCGGCCTGTTCCTGTCCCTCGCACCAAGCCTGTGATGCGCGTCGCCAGCCCGGCCCGGCCTGTTCCTACTCCCCGCACCAAGCCAATGGTGCGCGTCGCCAGCCCGGCCCGGCCTGTTCCTGCTCCCCGCACCAAGCCAATGGTGCGCGTCGCCAGCCCGGCCCGGCCTGTTCCTGCTCCCCGCACCAAGCCAATGGTGCGCGTCGCCAGCCCGGCCCGGCCTGTTCCTGTTCCCCGCACCAAGCCTATGGTGCGCGTCGCCAGCCTGGCCCGGCCTGTTCCTGCTCCCTGCACCAAGCCAATGGTGCGCGTCGCCAGCCCGGCCCGGCCTGTTCCTGCTCCCCGCACCAAGCCAATGGTGCACGTCGCCAGCCCGGCCCGGCCTGTTCCTGCTCCCCGCACCAAGCCAATGGTGCACGTCGCCAGTCCGGCCCGGCCTGTTCCTGCTCCCCGCACCAAGCCTGTAGTGCGCTTCGTCAGCCCGGTTCGGCCCGTCCCTGCTCCCCGCACCAAGCCTGTGGTGTGCGTCGTCAGCCCGGTCCGGCCCGTTCCTGCTCCCCGCACCAAGCCTGTGGTGCGCGTCGTCAGTCCGGCACAGCCCGTGCCTGGGTCACCGGTGCCTGGTTAGGTACCGGTCAGCTGCTCCACATCGGAGCCTAAGCAATCCGCTCCACCGATGTCCAGTCCAGCTCCAGCCAGCGGGGCCAGATCGGACCAGGGGCACTACGGAGGGTGGTGGTCAAGCCCGGAGCCGGAACCGCCTCCGAGGAGGAATGCCCACCCGGCCCTCCCCTGTTCGGTTTATGTTTGGCGCGGTCGCAGTCCGCGCCTTTGGGGGGGGGTACTGTCACGCCCTGGCTCTGGGACTCCGTTATGTTGTGCCAGGGTGTGTTGTTTCTATGTGTTTTGTGTTCTAGGCTGATTATCTAGCTCATGTGTTTCTGTGTTGGCCGGGGTGGTTCTCAATCAGAGGCAACGAGTATCAGCTGTTGCTTGTTGTCTCTGATTGGGGACCATACTTAGGCAGCCTGTTTTCCACAGTGTTTTGTGGGATCTTGTTCCGTGTTGTATTGTAACC